GTTGGTTAAGTGATGGATCAAGTGAAAGAAGAAACAGTTTTCCCAGACATGCAAAGGGGTAAGATATTTACTGCTCATTCGTTCTTTCTCAGAAATCTCAGGGAGGGGGCGCCTGGGTGGCTCAGTCAGTTGGGCGTCTGCCTTCGGCTCAGGTCATGATCTCAGGGTCCTGGGATTGAGTCCTGCATCCAGCTCTCTGCTCAGCGGGGAGCCAGCTTCTCCCTCTCCCTCTGCCTGCCACTCCCCTGCTTGTTCTCTCTCTCTCTCTCTGTGAAGAAAGGAAGGAAGGAAGGAAAAAAGAAAGAAAGAAAGGAAGGAAGGAAGGAAGGAAGGAAGGAAGAAAGAGAAAGAAAGATGAAAGAAATTTTAGGGAGGATATGCTCCACCAAAATGAGATATCAATGAAGAAAAAGGAAGCATGGGGTTCAGGAAACAAGATTTAGCCAGCAAAAGGCATAGAAAATCCTCAGAATGTTGGAGAAAGGAAATCTGAGGGCTGGCCCCAAGAACAAAAAGAACCGCCTGATTACATAGTGGTGATTGAACAGAGTTAGCAGATTCCCACGCATAGGGGCGCCTGGGTGGCTCAGTCGTTAAGCGTCTGCCTTTGGCTCAGGTCATGATCCCAGGGTCCTGAGATCGAGTCCCACATCGGGCTCCCTGCTCAGCAGGAAGCCTGCTTCTCCCTCTCCCATTCCCCCTGCTTGTGTTCCCTCTCTCGCTGTCTCTCTCTGTCAATTAAATGAATAAAATCTTTAAAAAAAAAAAGATTCCCACGCATATTGGAAAAGTTTGGGGATACAATGAAATTGCTTGACAACCAAGCAAATGAACAAAAGAAATAGTCATTAGCTTTGGGGAAACCAAAGTTCTACACGAAAGGGGGTAAGACAGTACTCTACACGGCTAACCCACGAGTCCTGTTTACCACAGTTATGGCATGTAAATACCAAATACTGACGTAACCAAAACTATGGTAGCTGTGTGTGGGAAGGTTAGGGGTAAATGAAACAGGTGTGAAGGGAGGGGAAATGGACAAGAGGGCTAAATGCTCTTCTTCCCTGGTAGGAAGTTTTAGACCTTACCATAAACAAGGACATCATGGACATAAGAGCTAAGGCAATCAAAAATTGGTTACTTCTGGAAAGCACGAATCTAGAGTGAGAAAGGAGTGGGCAGGAAATGTTTAAAAATACAAGCCTTTTTTTTAAAAAAGATTTTATTTATTTATTTGACAGAGAGAGACAGCGAGAGAGGGAACATAGCAGGGGGAGTGAGAGAGGGAGAAGCAGGCCTCCCGCTGAGCAGGAGGTCAGACAAGGGGCTCGATCCCAGGACCCTGGAATCATGACTTGAGCCGAAGGCAGACGCCTAACTGAGCCACCCAGGTGCCCCCAAAATATAAGCCTTTTAGTACTATTTTACTTTTTCGATCATGTATGTTTATAATTTAGGGAAAAAATCCAAAACCAAAAAGGACTCCCTAAACAAAGAGAGGGAAACTATACAGCCAAGAGCAAGAAAGTCCTCATGCAACTTGGACCTTAATAGAATGACGAAAAATTAAATATTTAGACTATGTAGTGGATTGCATGATTTCTCAGTCATTTCCTGAGGAATGTCAGTAGCTGATTGGCGTTATAGCATAAAGCAGATATCCAGCCGAAACACTGCTGGGGAAGTATGTTATCTTTGCCAGTGAGCTAAATAAGCTGCAGAAACTGACCTCTTCTCAACATGGACCTAAAGACCGGAGAATCTCGCCGAGGGGCCTTGCCAACAGAAATGAAATGAGGGGCGCCTGGGTGGCTCAGTCGTTAAGCGTCTGCCTTCGGCTCAGGTCATGATCCCAGGGTCCTGGGATCGAGCCCCACATCGGGCTCCCTGCTGAGCAGGGAGCCTGCTTCTCCCTCTCCCTCTGCCCCTCCCCCTGCTTATTCTTTCTCTCTCTCTCAAATAAATAAAATCTTAAAAAAAAAAATCTATGGCATAGATGACCATATGTCCCAGTGTTTCCAGAACAGTCTTGGTTTATTTCTGTTGTTTGCTCCACCTTCAACTCTTAAAAGTGCCTAGTTTAGATGATAAATTATATGGCCCTTCTACCCATGATCATATCCATTTTAATCTTGTTTTATATTTCTAAGGAAAAACACAAATTTACTTTTTAACTTACAAATACAACATTTCACAACTTGCTTTCTCTGAAAAATTTGCGGCAAAATCTTGAACTCCTTTGTGGGTGGTTTATGAACCATCAACAATTTTTTTAAAACAATAAATCATAACGTAAATTTTTCTTTTAAAAATCATTCAGTGGGCATAACATTCTAATAAAACTATTAAACTTAGAATATTTGCTACTTCTTTAAAATCATGACTAAAATATTTGTGGAAGAATTAATATCCTAGGCGATACAACAAATTTTAATTATTAAAACAGTCCCAGAATAAGGTCTTCCACCTGACTTTATCCACAGTTCTAACAATGATCTCAAAAGAGTGTTCACAGCAGATGATATGTCTCATCCATCATCATGGCTGGTTATAAGCTGATCAGTTACCAGCCAGGGAATACGCCCCTTCCACTGCACAGACAAGCTCTGTATGCTAATAACTCCCAAATTTTCTTTAAGGCTAGGACTAAGAGTCCTGCCAATCCCCTGAACAACAGCTTACGTTATTATTCAGTGAACTTGAAACACTCCTTTCTTAGGCAGCAGTGCTGAAACAGATTCCATAATTGATTACGCAGTTTACAAGGGAGACTTAACATTGCTCGGTTTTCTGGGAGATACAAAGAGTTCCTTAGTTTTATTCAAATATGCACTAGCCCTGATATAAAACATGTCTCGTCATAAAGAGCTGTGATTCCTTTCAGCATTTTTTTTTTTTTTACTTAACCACTTAAGTCACTGCCTGTGGAAATTTCTTTTTAAGTGAAATATGAGGTCCAATTAGAAGGAAAGAAACCTATTTAATCAATTTTGTTTCAAAGATGCATGATTACCATATTTTTAAAAATTACTTAAAGAACGAACTAATGTCTTCAACTGGAGCACGCTATGATGACTAATTTACCATCTGCCCTGACCTAATGAAAACAAAAGGAAAGTTGGATTTGGCACTCGCCTGCACTTTTTATCCGTATTAGATAGTAGGCCTTGAGTTTTTGGATCTGAGATCAGGTTCGCTTGGTAGCCTCAGAGCAATTTTCCCTTTTTTTCAAAATTTGCTTTTGATCATTTCAGACAATTCATCCCTCGGAATGAGAAAGAGAAGAGAGGAATGTTGAATGAGGTTAAGTAAATGGAGAATCTGTCACATAAAGCAAGTTTAAATCCCAGTAACAGCATCCATGCAGGACAAACGGAAGCATTATTCTTTTGAAAACATTATTCTTTTAAACAGTGTGTAATGACATCCTCCCTAGAGACGTCCTCCACGAAAGAAGAAAAACTACTTCCTCAGAAGTCATCTTCTAGGTGCCAAGTGTAATGAGTGAAGTCAAAACTTGTGTTTTCTTTATGTAAGAAGGTTCAGAATTAGAACTGCAAAAAGGTGTTTCTCCATATCCCTGTTTTCTGTTCCACACTGGTATTTCCATGAGCAGAAAGGACAAGGAAAAAGAAAAGATTGCCATTATGACTTCAGACCTACAGATCAGTGAATGTGTCCTTACTGTAAACTCTGAGCCAAGTATATTTTCTGTTTTCAAGGAAGAAATCTGCAAGACTCATCTATGTAGAATGTAAGGTAATTACTCTTAAGTTCCCTGTAAGTAGAGCACTTTCTTAGGCTGAAATCTAACCTGTGCGACATGTTCCCAGCACTCTCTGCTCCTGTTGTCACTAGAGAACTTGACAGTAACTATGGCGATTTTATGTTTTTAATTACTTAAATATTAGAAGTTGGGTTTTGTTTTTAATGTTTTAAAATATGTCTAGGTCACAAAAAGATAAATAAGGAGAGACAATTACTTCTTTCGATTCAAATACTACTTTATAAATTTAATTAATGCATGTCCAAATAAAGACTTCTCTTCAAAGATTTCAAAGTTGTTGCATACGTGTTTAATGTAATGGAACAAAGAAGGAAGACACTATAGATAAATCATAATTATAATGTTTATTTAGCAAAATAAACTTGAAGTTTTCTATTAAAAAACATAAGAATCACACCCAAATTTTAGTTTCCCCATCTTCTTTGGTATTGAAATCAACATTTGGGATATAAAGTATTTTATTTTGAAGTTGAGCCACTGGGTCTACAACAGTTTTCCATATAAGGAAAAGAGAAAATTAAGTTACTTGTAATTGTCTTATTGATTGAACAACCAATGGAGGCATTATGTGTGTGCAGAGACCAACATCGTCAAGGAAATACTCATTCACTGATACGTGTTTTTCTACTGAAAACATATTTTAAATTTTTAATGATCGTCTGCCATCATTTTCTTGTGCTGTCTGAACAGGAATCCAATATGGAGATCCTGCTTTCATTTAACTAATGAACTACTCTCCAAGGAAGTTAACACCACCATACCAGGACTTAATAATACTTATTTTTCAACATGACTACATGAAAAAAAATTTTCTGATTTTTCTCAGAATCGCGTACTTCAGTCTTTTCCATAAAATAGTATCTGGGAATTGCTAATAGCATTAAATTAATATTAATAAACCCAAATCTATCTAAATCTTTTTCTTAAAACCAGACTTGCTGTTTCTTCTAAGGGTAATATTATATGGACTGCTAAATTAGCCAAGCCAAATACTTCCAGAAACACCACGGGACAACCAAGCCACTCTTATTCCTCTGATAAATCTTTGCCTTTCCGATTCTGATTTCTCCATATCCCTGCCTTCTTGTGTGAAAATATGTTCCCCTTAATTTGTTAAAAGGAATCTCAGATAAAAAGACCAATAACAAACTGGGGCAAGTTTTGTTTTTGGTTTTTGTGGGGTTTTTTTGCATAGACTCTTGTGACCACAAAACGATCAAACAATGGATAGCTTTAATGCTAACACTGTGATTGGGAACAAGAAGAGTACAACCACAATAAAATACAGCTATCTATTAGAAGGACTGCATAAAGACATCTTTGGCCATGCAGGCTCTGGGCCCTCTGGAAATAAGTCAGTTGCATTGCCAACATGACAAAGAAAATAGCAATGTTCAGGATCAGGAACAGTCTGGTATAGGAGGACGACAGTGACGGGGCCCGGCTGCGAGTTGTTGTCATCATCCGGGCCTGTCCAAACCGGCCCTTCAGGGAGCCACCGTTTTTGTGTTTCTCATACGTCACATCTGCAAAATCTAAAAGGTCTTTCATTTCTTCATCTTCATCGATGGGCAGTTCTTTCTGTGCCAAAATCTGAGCCTTCTGTCGAATCTTTTTTTCATTGACTTCGATCTGTGCAAAAATATCGGGGACGGCGTCCACAAATTTATAGCGTTTGCCTACCCTCCGGTTTCTCTTTGACTTGCTTTGCTGTTGCTGCTGCTGTGATATGGCAAAAATCCTATCGATGGCCTCCTCCGTCTGCCTCTTGTCTGAAAACCTCAGCAGGCGCTCGGCGGTCTTCCTAAAGCTAGCTGTGTTCCGGACCCGGGACAGGATCTGCTTCTCCAGCTGCTGGAACACTGGCTTGAAACGCTGCAGGTTCTGGTCCACCACAGCGGCGTAGTCCTTCACCTCCGGCACCGAGGTGCTCTTGATGGCCGAGCTCCGGTCGAACAGGATCCTCCGCCGATCGGCAATGACCTGTGCGAAGGCTGGCTGCGCCGTGTTCTCTCCGCTCCAAAGGTAAGCGGCGTAGGCATGCTGGCTGGTGGCGATGAACACGCCCAGCTGCTGCGAGTCTCCGTGGATGCTGAAGCTCTGGACGTCGACAGACGGCCCTATGAAGAGGTAAGCTGTCCTGGTGATGGGGCTCCGCAGGTGCACAGTGACGTTCACGTAGTTCGTCCCGTTGTAGGGGTAGCCCCGAGGGTACGTCGCGGAAGCAAAGGTTGCTTTCTCACTGTAGCCGGTATCGTCCATCCAGTACATTTTGTAGAGACCGTCCCGCTGCCGGATGAAAGCCCCGTGGACCCCATCTACCACTGTTTCCTCGAAGGGAACGTCCACGTTGTGGAAGAAGCTTGCTGCCCTCTCCAGCGGGCTCTCCTCTCCCAGGTGGATCTGGTCCACGAGGAGCAGCAGCTGGGGGTGCAGGAGGATCAGATTCCTCTGAACGTTCTTGAGATCCAGCCGGGGGTTATAAGCTCCCACCCCTTCTCCTCGGATGAAAACCACTCCGTTTTTCTCCTCTGCTGCAACCACTCTCCCCTGACAGCTGGCTGCCAGGTCCTGCTTGTACTTAGACCATTTTGAAGAGCAGTCTTCCGTGACCTGACCCTCCCAGGGAGAAAAGCAGCTCTTGGACACAGCTGGCGAGAACATCAAAACGTTGTTGAAGAAGGTGTACTTTGGCCCATAGAGAGCCTCCGTAATGAAAGGCACACCATTGGGAGCAAAAGTAAATGAGTTTTGATCAGGATGTTCATGCCCTGCATTAAAATTCCTCCATCCTTTGATCCACTCTTTGTATTTGTTTCTGTGCACAATGTCATATATTGCACGGCCCCCGAGTTTTCCCGACTTGAAGGAAAGAAAAGATCTATTGATTTCTGCGGGCAGTGCACTTCCGTAAGTCACAACACCCCAGTCTTCAAAATAATGCAACGTGGGGGTGCCAAAATCTGGGGGAGGAACAGATTTCAAGCTGGCGTCATACCTGAAAGGATGAATTGTTCAAAATTAAATGGTTTTCTGGTGGAAGTTAAAATAACCCATCAGAACTGTGATGGGTTCTTTGTAATGTGGCTGCAGGAACCAGCACACATACTACCCAGAGTGCCGGCAGTGTGTTCCGGAGGAGAGGCACTTCTGGAAACACCCATGGATGAGCTTGCACAGGGGAACACCCTTAGTGAAGGGGAGACGAGTCTATCTTCATAACCTGTGATCCTTGGGTTTGAGCCTGCTTATCGCTACATGGACCTTCTTCATTGAATGATTTCAGAGCTGCCCTCCGAACCACCGGGGCTCACAGAATTGCACTTGCAAACTTCTCGTTCAGGGGCTCCTATTCTAGAGAACCCCATGTTAGGATCTAGACTTCTTAACAAGCCTCCAGTTGTAAACAAGTATTGTTCTGCGACAACCAATATTATTGAAAGTTTGTTAGAGTACTTTTCACCCTCTAAAAAAATAAATTTTAGTAAGAGTCAAACTTCACGTATTAGATAAAATTTACTGCCAATATCATATCTAAGAATATAAGTGGATGAAATTCAAGAAACTATTAATACTGGAATATTTATAACGGTGGCTACCACTGCCTACCAAGAGCCATGGGTTTTGTTTTGCTCTGCAGATGGTATCATGGATTTTGGACAAAAAATGGCCTCTCATTTTCATTTATGACAAATGTTTATTATCAAATCGGTACAATAATTAACATTAAACTTCCACAGTGATTAGGAACACAGGTTTCTGAATCAGAGAGGGCCCCCGAAGTAATCATAAACATGATTATTTGCTTTTGATGATCTGAGATAACATTTCTGACAGGTTTAGATGATTTCCTGCTCAAGGGAAGTAAAGCAGGCCTATACTATTAGCTCTCTAAAACGAATCGATCACCTATGGTTAATCTTACTGGTGTTTGATGTTGGCTGTTTCGTCTGTTGTTCTAGAGTTTCAGGCCATCAGAAACTGTGTCTCTACTTAGGTCTAGTTAATAATGTTGGCTTAATTACTGTGACTTAACAAATCCAGACACAAGATGAATTGGCCATACTTCTCTGATTTTGGTCTGCATATTCCTATGAATGGCAGATTTTGAACCGAGTTAGACTTAGCATCAATCTGACTCCTACAGTCAGCTTTATAGAACCATCCTGGTTGTTTATTTAGGATAAGTGAAATCACTACTAAATAATTACTTCACACCCCTAAAACAGGAATGGTTACATATTAATATATCTACTTCATCTGTGACAACAGTTTTTTAAAATGCTGGTTAAATTACCACCAGTTATAACTTTATTAATATATTTTTCCCCTCTTACTTGTTTAAACTAAAAAAAAAAAAATAATAATGAAGAGAAGAAAATCAAACCACAGAAGCTTATTTTGGAATTGAATACCCATTTCAATAGCTTGAAAAGACATCAAGGATTAATGATCAACCAGTTCCCTGTAATTTTTATTTTAATTTATTGGATGCCAACAATATTCTTGGCAGTACTTTAAAAAGGAGACCTGGCTTCTCTTTCTGGGCTTAAAAGATTAAGGCAGAAAAAATTACATGGTTCTTTTATTATCAAAGTGAAACTGTCAAATACTGTCAAACACTTCTAAACAGTTTTGGAAATTCAGTAACAGCTTTGCTATTAGAAGATTATAATGCTCCATTTACTAAAACAAAACATTTTCCTACCTTTATTTCTTTCTTTGCTGTGATTGTCAGAGTACCCCAGTCTAAATTTTGTGGTTTTCTCTTTATATGATTTCAAAAATGATATAAATCAAAACATGCCCATCTACTTAACAGTGTGAGCCCAGGACATCTCTAACACAAGAAAACCATAAACTGCCAGCAGTAATGAGATCTTCCATGGAAGGAAATGTTTCTAGCAGAGCCTCCAACGCTGCAACAGGAACCGAAGCTGAGCCGGCATATGGAGAAGGGGTTACAAAGTGCTTTCTGTAGTTTTTCTGTTTAAATGCAGAAATCTAGCACACTTAGCCCTGGGTACAATTCCTTTTAAAGGCAGCCCAACATGTCCTACCAGAGAAATTCCGTGTGAAGAGTACACCAGCGCTGCCCTTTGGACGGTGTCCCCGGACCTTCAGTCACCCGGTTCCTCCTGATCTGGTCAGCGAGCCAGTTACCACTGCCGTTACGCATGACAAATTTATCCAGGAACACTAATTGGCTTTCTGGACCATAAAACCAGTTGTAATTTGAGTCTGCAATAGCCACGGTTCTTTGAAACCCTGGGGAAAGAAGTTTGACAGAATGAAGATACATTTAAAACGGCATGCTCCTATAAAGACCTAAACAACGATTTCCAATCCTGGTTGCAAATTAGAATCGATTGTGTGCCTTGGATTAAAAAAAACCAAAAGCACGATGTCCACGCTTCACCCCAGACCAGTTAATGAGACCTCTGAAGGTCTTCCACAAGTGTGCAAGTTTGTATTTGTTATGTGGCAACCTATCACTGGTAATGGAAGTGCCACACTTCTTAATGCTCTTGAACACTGCCCACCTGCCGCATTTCCCAGCGCCCATGTTAGGTGTCATCCTATCTACAGAGACACACAGGCTCTCCTCCGGAACACGGGGAGCTCCCAAACCTGGACTGAGCACTAGATCTCTTACCAACTCGTCCCATATTCTACACCAACAGGAAGACATAAGGCGCTGCGATTTGGCATAATAAAGTGGAACTTATAAGGCTTAAGGGAGACACTGCATTTCTATAGGAAGAAAATTTTTTTTTAAGGTTTTATTTGTTTGACACAGAGCAAGCACAAGCAGGGGGAGCGGCAGGCAGAGGGGGAGGGAGAAGCAGGCTTCCCGCTGAGCAGAGAGCCCGATGCCGATGCCAGGGCTAGATCCCAGGACCCTGGGATCATGACCTGAGCTGAAGGCAGCCGTTTAACCGACTGAGCCACCCAGGCGCCCACATACAGGAAGAAAACGTAATTCCCACAGAAGATCCTGCTAATACGTACTGCTGGAAGTTAAAGAGAGAAAATGCAAAGAGCATACTGGAATAGGTCAGCAGAACAAAAGCAGGTAAGACTGGATATGCTCCCGGTGTTCTTGAAAAAGAATGGGAGACAACTCTGAGCCAGACAGGAATAATCATTACTAGAACAGCCATTGTGGAGGGGGGGGGGGGAAAGGTTGTCAAGAACAGATTGACTTTTAACACATAATCCCTTCTAAAATGATATCATGACCATATTTACATAATTTACAGCTAATGTTTTTGCTTCTACCAGTTTAGTAAATGCTATTCCAAGTAAATCTTATGATAAAATGTGATTTCCTGAATCTTCTATTAACCTGCGAATTCCCTGAAAGCTGATGTGTTTTATTTCTCTTTGAATACCCTGCCTGGTAGAGTGCCTGGCACATAGATGTTCAATAATGGTTTGTTGGATTAATTGACATAAATGCATGACTCCTCCTCTTAGAGATGTTCATCCTGTCTTTCCCAGTTTAGGATGCAGTCACAGACACAGCTCACAGCAGTGATGTGGCTGTCTGCTAGATCTCAGATCAAATTACAAAGCACTGAGTCCTCGTCAAGGTCCCTGGCCTCAGATGGCCTTTGTTTATCAAGGTAACTAAAAACAGGCCTCTCCTGCATATCTAAGAATAAGCAATAAAACAATAGGGTTCTGAAAGTTAATTCTCAACTAAACTTTAAGAATCTTATCATTCTTTTGCTCTGCTGTATTTTTTGGATAGCTAATCAAATAATGGAGATTCTATTCAGTCCATGTGTACACAACCAGAGCAAAAAGATTTAAAGACCGGATTCTTTACTGTAGGTCCAGAATCACCATCTAAAAATGACATTTCACTGGGGGAAAAAAATACCCATCCTTTTTTTCCCCCCAATTTTTATTTAAATTCTAGTTAACCTACAGTGCAATACTGATTTCAGGAGAATTCAGTGATTCATCACTTACATACAACACTCAGTGCTCATCACAGCAAGTGCCCTCCTTCATACCCATCACCTATCCCGCCCATCCCCCACCTCCCTCCCTCCCTCAACCCTCAGTTTGTTCTCTATCTTTAAGAGTCTTTTATGGCTTGTTTCCCTCTCTTTTTTCTTCTCCTCCCCCCACCACCCATATGTTCATTTGTTTTTGTTCTTTAAATTCCACATATGAGTGAAATATATGATATTTGTCTTTCTCTGACTTATTTCGCTTAGCATAATACGCTCTAGCTCCATCCATGTCGTTGCAAGTGGCAAGATTTCATTCTTTTGGATGGCTGAATAGTATTCCATTGTATATATAAACCACATCTTCTTTATCTGTTCATCAGTCAATGGACTTTGGGCTCTTTCCATAGTTCGGCTATTGTTGATAATGCTGCTATAAACATCAGTATGCGCGCGCCCCTTAGAATCTGTATTTTTGTATCCTTTGGGTAACTACCTAGTAGTGCAGTTGCTGGGTCGTAGGGTAGCTCTCTTTTTAACTTTTTGAGGAACCTTCATACTGACCTCCAGAGTGGCTGCACCAGTTTGCATTCCTACCAACAGTACAAGAGGGTTCCCCTTTCTCTACATTCTTGCCAACACCTGTTGTTTCTTGTGTTGTTAATTTTAGCCATCCTGACAGGTATGAGGTGATATCTCATACTTTTGTGTTTTGTATTGTATTTTGTATTGAGTTATGTTTTCATGTGTCTATTAGCCATCTGAATGTCTTCTTTGGAAAAATGCCTATTCATTTCTTCTCCCCCATTTCTTAAGTGGATTATTTGTTTTTTGGGTGTTAAAAAAATCCCCATCCTGATGAAAATCTACCTCCTAAACTTTTTCTAACATCTTAGTCCTGTTTGGAAACAAGGAGAGTAATAAGGCTGTCCTAGAAATGAAAGTGTTCTTAAATCATATACATCTTTTTTTAGAGCTAGTTCTCTTAGAAGACCGAACTACATGGCAACAAGGAATTAGAAGTTTTGTAGCAATTCATTTTTTTATCTTTCATATTTTACACTCTTTATTTCAGTAAACTATTCAAAGAAAATACTAAAGCTCCAGCATATATGTACGTATGTCTTTCATTTTGAATATCTATATAGTTTGGAAATAAAAACTAAAAAACAAAAGAGGACCAATTTGAGATTGCATGTAAAGGAAAATTAACATGTAACCAAAAATGTTTATATTCTGTTAAGATTTGTGAAAAGGAAATGTTATTTTTGCAGATGAATTAGAAACATATAAAGTTTTTTGTTTTGTGAGCTATTTCAAATATACAAAAAATAAACAGAATAATATTTTGAAAATTTAAAAAAAGATTCATGAAAAGGAATTTGCATACATACCCAAGTTTTACATCTACTAAAATAAAAGTACTTTGGGGGCTACGAATTATATTTGATCCATTATGCTCCAAGCTTTACAGTACATAAATCACAAATCCTCACAATAACTTCCCAAACGTTCTGGTTATATGCAACTCTTGAATTCTTCTTTGATTTTTTATTAAAAAAAAAATCCCCTTAATTTCAATATGACTTGAACCCCACATTTCTTTTCCTAGTCTAGCCCATTTTCATAATCAGAAAAAACGATCATAGTTAATGTTTTCCCATTTCTGATTCCTCATTATACCTGGTAGGATGGTTCTATACATAAATGCAAAGTGTTGTTTAAGCCATGGGTGACCAAAGTGGTTGATGTCAAAGTGCCTCTGAACAAGAAACATATACTGGAAGAGGGACCTAGTGGTATAGCTTCCGTAGGCAACTCCTTCGTAGAGGGAACCGTCTGTCACCTCTCGGAGCAAGACCAGAGACTTCTCCATGATGGTCAGAACTTGTTTGGTCCATAGGTAGGCTTCTTGAAGATACCCTGAAGAATGAAAACACATAGAAACACTGACTAGGGCTATAATGAAGCATAAACAAAATTATGACCAAATAAAATCCCCTGAGTTATCTGACTACAGGTCAAATAGCATTCTGTAAAACTCTCACTTTACCAACACTATAAATAACATTCTGCTAATTCAGGTTTGTGTCGGGTCCATGATGTAAGTTACAAAGTTCTCGAATACAAGTCATTTATTAATTAAGTGAAGATAAACCGTGAAATGAGCATCAGTTTCCAATCTTTAATACATGTGAAACCGCATCACACCAAAATTACAAACTGCACATAACTTTAGGCTACAAGAAAAGATCTGTGTATTAAGACTTTCATTCAATTTCTAAAAACTACTACTTGAAAATATTTTTAAAGCTCTTATCTTCATAAAACTTGCACCATTATTTCATATGATTTTTAATAAGCTGCTAATACTATAAAGGCTAAGCAGATAGTCTTCAATTTGTTCTGTCATTAAAAGACAATCTCTCATCCTTTATGTGCTTTTAGATGCCATAGGATTTCAAAAGGCAACACAGCGGGTCAGAAACACCACTGGAGTGACAATCTAATGGTGAAAAATATCAACTGGGAGTCCTGAATCTACCAAAAATGAGCTAAAATTTTGTTCAGGCACTTCAACCTGTCACATTTTTCTACTTCTGCGACTGAAAATTAAAGGCCTTAAAATTTTTATGAAATACTTTTGACTCAAAAATCCTAGCTTCCTATAATTCTTGCAAGACTAGCATTTAGGTAACAATCACAACTCGCATTTCTAAAACATTTGTAATTTACACAGCACTGAACACAATCTTCCTTAATCCTTTTACCAATTCAATTAGGCATTATTACTCCAAAATTACAGAAAAGCTTGATTGTTCAAGACTTCTGACACATGACTAAAAATGAACAGAACTTTGATCTGAACCTAGGTCTTTAGATTTCAGTTTTGTTTTGTTTGCTTATATATTTAAAACATACAACCAGTGAGGATGAAAGTAAGCTCGTTGCCTCCTGATGTGGATGGAGTCTTGTTACTTCGCTCCTGCAGACGTGTGTGATCACCAGTGCTGAACACTACCATGGCCTACCACGTGTGCTGGGTGTGAGGGCTTCCAGGGGCCCTGGGACAAGATCCCAGCCTAAATCCAAGGTGCCAGGCTCTGTAAGACCTCACTCCCATCTCCTGAGGACACAGAGGTGACTGGATTGTACCCCGTCTCCTCCTGTCCAGCTGTCCACCGGCCAGGCCAGTCTTTTGGAGAGTTTTTAGCTTCCATTCTGTAATCATTAGGGTTTCAAGTTCTAGTCATCTTCCTCTTTTTCTTCTCTGTATCCTCCATCTCTAATCAGACTCCAACGTGATACTTAAAATCAGGCCTGCTACTTACTGCTCCCTGATATCACATGACCTGGTTTACCCTTCTTTTTTTCCCTACAACAATCCTGTTCGGGAGCTATGAGGCAATGTCTGCCTTCCTAAACTTCAAATCTGTCAATACGAGGCACTAATACTGGTATTTTATTTAAGTTTTAGTTAACATACAGTGCAATCTTCGTTTCAGAAGTTGATACTGTTATTGATGCTATGCCCATACACCCTGTCTGGAATGTTCTTCATTATTTTCACTTATCCAGATCCTATCTATGTTTCAAAGTTCTATGAACCTTTTCACACTGTTCTCCTGAATTCAAACTTAATACACTCGATCGAGGTTTAGCCATAGCTTCATGACACCTCTTACTCCATTCTCTGGTGCTATGGTAACTACTGCATATTCATTTAAACATTTCACATGTCTTCCTTCCAACTGATTTGTAAACGGCTAATGTGTGATCCTGTGGTCCCTGTGTACCGAGCCTTAGACAGAGTTAGCAGAACAGAGAGAACATTCTAATTCTCCCACTTCCGATGGGAACTACCGGTACACTAAGCGAGCCTAGTATCTGTGAGGCTGGTCTGGAGAACATGGGATTGTCGAAACAGCCTGTGAGGTGGCTCCTAAAGGTGGTGAGTGTGCCAAGAAAGCCAGGATGGTAAGCCTGATTATTAACTGAGATGCGCAGGGCCAGAGATTTCACCTCTTCTTCTGTCCACTGCCGACGTGGGGGTTCTGGAACAATATCTCCCTGAGCAACCCATTACTGTAATCAGAAAATAAATGCACACACAAATGCCTGCAAGAGGAGAACTACACGTTTTGGTCCAAACTGAACTGGTATTTTCGATGCCTGCAAGTATCTGGAGCAATCTTATCTCCCACGAAGAATGAAGAAATAAGCTCTATTCCTGCTACTAAAGAACTAAACATTTATGAAAAGAACTAAGACTCTACTAGGCTAAAATCCAAGGCCCCGGGCTGAGACCTAGCTTGTCTTGGGTTCCTTCCACCATTTCACGAGGATGTCTTTTCACAGGCCTTGGGATTTATTTATCAATAGTTTGAAGATTTGCATTTTGATTTTTATTTAAAAAAAATTTTTTTTTTTTGCATTTTGATCTTTTAAAATCTCGTTTGTTTTTCGGAGAGTAGGGGGCAAAGGGAGCCAAGATGAAACCTGGCCTCTTAAAGCCTTCCTTAAATTACTTTGAATCTCTATTCTAAGAGAGGCAACAAAATATAGTGGAAAGAGAATGAACTTTGAGTTTGGCCAGAACTGGATCCAAATCCCAGCTACATTATATGGCTGATGTGACAAATAAAATAGGGACAAGGATTAACACATGCCATATGCTCAGTTAATATTAGTTTCTTTTCCTCTAAGACTAATTAAAAGTGATAGCTGGTTGATAAGACAAGGGAGAAAGCTAGACTTGAGGAAATCTGATGCTGGATAATCTACAAAATGCATACTAATTCTTGTGGGGAAGTAATCAAGAGTTCTATTAGCTTTGCCAGCTCCAAGTATATGTTTAATATCGTAATAATTCACTGTGATCTTAGGGCTGCTTTTCTTAAATACAGTCTAATTTAATCATGTATAGACTTTCACAGGTGTTGTAATTAAGTCAGAATTACAAGAACAGAGAAAATGTAGTATCAGCAATTATGTAATACATTAAGGGAAAGTAGCTATGTGATTCACAAAAGTCACTTCCAAATTTGACCTAAATCATCTAGATTGGTTTGAAGTCCTTAGAGAAAAAAAACAGAATATTGTAATGATAGACATCCGTGTGCAAAGAACATTCATTTCAAATAATAAACCACCCGTTTAGCTTTTAAAAACTCCATTTACCCAGGATGGCTGTCTTCACTGTCAGAATTCTCTGGGGAAATGAATATCCGCCACTGATGGAGTGCTGTAAGCATATGGCTTGGGACAATCAAAAGCCTTACTTAAATAACCTGCAGGCTAATATAAGTAACAGCAATGAGGAAGCGATGTCTCTCAATTGTCTAAGAGATGCCCTGAGGTATTACTTCATCTCATGAGCTCAGTTAGGATCTAAGTATGAACATGTATTAAGGCTAGGTATAAAAATGCTCTGCTCACAAGGCAACTATGACTGATGCTGGCTTCGGCGTTCCCTCGGCTGTGTCCACAACGCACCTTGATTCATCAGAACCAGGCTTCCTGTGAGCAAGGCCATGCAGTTGGTGGGCTGATGATTGTGCAGGTACTGAAATCCCCATCCTCTCCTGTAGGAAGTTTCATACATATATCCCGAGACATTGGCAATCACTTCAAGAAACTTCTCCTGTTGTGTCTTGCTCAAGTAGTTGTACAAGAAGTCGTAGGCAGTGGCAAAACCAACCAGGGAGTGAGCAAGCGGGACTTCATCCCAAGGAGCATCTTTCACCAGCCTGCAGAGGAAAATCAACCATGTGAATGAGTGCAACAGTCCCACAGCGTTCATCACACTTTTCGAGTGTCTGTTTCTCAGAAGGAAAGGGCACAACTGAAGATACAATCCAAGAAGCTGAATGCCTCAGAATTAGCTGCCTTCCACATTAGACACAAGCATAAAATTTATCTCATGGGGAAATTACAGAATGAATGCTTTTCTCTCATTGAGAGTTTTTCCTTTTGACTTTTTACTCTTGATGAGAGGTAGAAGACTATGTTCAAATAGATCTAAAGCATATAACATGTAATGGCAGGGCGAGATTCTCAGGAGCATCCATCTAACTGGTACTCACCCTCCCCTTTTTACACATAGTAAGAGGGTCTCAGTTCTGTTCTTATGGCTGCCTTGGCAAACCAGTGGAACACATATATCCCACCTCACCTTATTTCCCACAGGCTGGTCAAGGTGCAGGTATCCTCGTCTAGAGTTTATGACCTCTCAATCTGGACAGACCCACTTGGTCAAGGGCATGATGAGGAAGGTGGCTAAAAATCTGGTGTGAGTGAAATGAGCTGATTCTAACTCAGATTTCTACATCTTGTTCTTTCTCATAAGATGAACTGCACTGCCTTTAAGGTCCTTTGAGTATCTTTCAGACAAGTGTAAAAGCTGACCTGTGAAGTATGAAACCATTTTCTAGGAAGCCAAGTTTCTGCTTGGCTGGCTACATTATTCTGCAAGTGGTTTAACAGTGTGTGGCCTGCGTTATACAGGAAGCTTAGAAAGGATCTTTCACAATCACAATTCTATGGAACTATCCAGAAAACCCTCCCCATGTGCTGGAGAGATATTTGAGTAATCTCTAGGACAGGGACTCCAGTGAAAAGTGTGCTGTACAGATGGGGAGTATAAGAAAACACAATTCGGGATTAAATGAAAGCTTAGTATTTCTATGCCATGAACCTCTTGACCTCTGGGCAATCTGGTGAAGCCTCAGCCTCTTTCTCAATGCTTTAAAATTCATAAGATAGAATACGAAGGGTTATAAAGAAATCTGTTACTTTGACATGTAGCTATCAATACAGATTTTTAAAAAAAATTGTGATCTCTGTCCTTTATTACGGCACTAAAAAACGAGATTTAATAGCAGAGATAGTAACTACTATAATTTATAAGTAGTGATGAGCATAAACAATAGTATCTATTAACTATAATGGGATATGAAAATATCTGTGATACCTACCTATGACAAGGTTACAAGTTCTCCCAACATCACTATAGGGGTCACCTATGTTCATGATTTGGAAGAAAGGCTAAATTTCACTTAGAGTCAATGAAAATTAAGATGCAGTGTTTCTCCCATAAAACACCATAGATCCCAGGACAAGAACACTCAAAAATGTTCTGAGAGACTACCTCCTCTAGATTATATTATTCTTTTAGGAGTTTTATACGAAAGATGTGATCTTAGCGATGCCTTCTGTGGTCACTCTGCAGAATTTCAATATTACTCTCCAACTGACCGTATCTCACTTCCCTTTCTTTTTTGTCCTCTTAGTGTTTATGTGTGTATATGTATATGTATATGTATAGGCATCCTCTACTAGATTTTAAGTTCTGCAAGTGCACAGTTTTATTCTTTCCTCTATTTTATTCACTGTTGGATCCCTAATCCTACAACAGTGTCTGACACATAGTAGATGTTTAGTAAACATTTCTGGAAAGCAAGAAAAAAAATGAAGGAACAGGCCTATAAAACTAGGCCACACTATTAACAGTGAATATATGATCATCATGAACTCAGGAATTTGGAGGCATCTCTTGATACTTAATAATAATTCCAGTGTTTGGTTAGCTGTGGTGATATGGCCTGGTGCTAAAATAACTAAGGTTAATGAGTTTTTAAACTATCTGGTCACAAAGCCACCCTGCCAGTCAGCTTGCTAGTGTGGACTGGCTGGAAACAGACTAAGAAGAGTGTGAATTCATTCCCCACTTCTAGGGAAAAAAACAACTTCTCCTGCAAGCTCACTGCAGGGAATTAGGAACACAGTCTTCAGTGACTCCTGGTGGTTGGTGAGCCAAGCAGAGAATCTGAGTCATCTGCTTCCCAGCCTGTGTCTTTGTGCCATGTCACGATGCATCTATAAATGACGCATGTCCACCTAACCATGGCAGAGCTGACATCAATGAACTGCTACCATCTGCCCAACTCTGACACATCTGATTAACCCGTGAACTTGTTGCTTTTTTCAACAGTGAACTTATTTTTATAGATCAAAGAACATTTATTATAATTCTCATCCTTCGGGAAGTATTACTATGCAACTTCTGTGAAAACGCCAAGCTCCCCCAGTTTCCAATCCAATAAAATGCTAGTACACCAATTTTAAAAAAAAAAGCTTATACCATCAGGCTCATCTCTGTATCATTATGAAATCTGACCTGTAATAGTTACATTTCTAAAAGGTTATCTAAATCCTTTACCAATCCAATTGGACCCGGCCGTAGATATGGTCATGGAAACCAAAGGAAATTTGCTTCTAGCTCATGGATGGCAGCAAAGAAACTATCTGATTCAATGTGATCCTGACTACTGGTTAATAAATCTACTGGAAAAGCTGGTTGAGTGGGTTAATCATTAAAAAAAAGATACAGATATTAATTTATGAATTTTATTTCAGCTTAAAATACCTATATGTATACACATTCACCAGTCTTTTGAAGTTGAACTAAAAGCCTTTTCTTTAAAAGTGGGTCTACAGATCAGTCATTGTTCTTTCCTGCAAAGAACACACATAACACATCATCACAATTTCAAGCCTTAGTTTCTCTAAAAGATACGAATTAAAGATACTTGTGAAGGAATGTAGAATCCTTCCAGATTTTTATGTTTTCCCCTAAACTTTTACAAATCTCATCCACACTAAATTATGATAGCAATCTTTTACAGTAAGTCGTTCTAAAGCATTTAAGTTAGTTTTAGAAACCTACATTCTTTTTCTTTTTGAACTCACACTCTATTTACATATTATTAAAATTGTATAATTACACGTATTAATGAAATTGGCATAAACTTGTTTGAGAACAAATACAACTGATATTTGCAAAGCACATTATTCTACTACTGGGAACAGAGATGAATGGACATAGCAGAGGGCAGTCAACTGGCCTCAACATTGAGCATTCTATGGGAGTTGCTGCCAGATTACACAAGCAAGGGAGGTGAATTTCACTGGCAAGTCAGTTAAGAGGAGGGTTAGGTACATTTTTACTGTAGTCCTATTTTTACAACCTATACCTTCTCCCCTTAAGAGCCATTCTTAAAGTAAGGTCCATGGACCCCCAGGGTCTCTGAGATTCTCTGAAGGAATCCTCAAGTAAAAATTATTTTCCTAATAATATAAAGATGTTATATGTTGACAGTTGTACTGATGATGCCAAAGCACTAACAGGTTAAAAATGCTGGCACCTTAAGCAAGAATCCAGGCAGGGCACCAACTCTAGCAATCCTTGCATGATTCTGCATGCGGCCATGCACTCTAAGTTACACACACACACACACACACACACACACACACACACACAGCCAGTTTCACTTAAGGATAGCCTCAGTAAAGTGGTAAAATGATAATTTTATAAAATCTCAACCCTCTGAGGGCGCCTGGGTGGCTCAGTTTTAAGCGTCTGCCTTCGGCTCAGGTCATGATCCCAGGGTCCTGGGATTGAGTCCCACATGGGGCTCCTTGCTCAGCAGGGAGTCTGCTTCTCCCTCTCCCTCTGCTTGTGCTCTGTCAAATAAATAAATAAAATCTTTAAAAAAAAAATCTCAACCCTTTGAGTAGATCTCTCTTCCATATTCTGTGTGATGAAATGGGAAGTATGTATAAAAAAGCACAGTGGATGCCAAAGTGTAGGAACTGCCACGATGAAAAGAAATTGTGCATTAAGAGCTGAACTAGCTTTTTTTTTCATGAAACATCATTTTTATATGCGAGAATGCTGAACTGACAAATTCTAGTTATTTAGAACTACATATTTAAGTGGAAGTTTTCTTGAAAATGAACAAGGAAGCCTGCCAGTTTAAAGAAAATCGAAAGCCTTTGTTGCCGATGACAAAATTTGAGCTTTTCCAAGAGAAAATAAAAATTTTAGAAAACTTGTATCTGCTGCCATGTGTTTAAGAGTTTACCAATACTTACAAATTTTTCTGGTGAGGTCAGTGATAACAAATGTGATTTATTTTTATATTGTATTATTAAATATGTCAACACTTGGAAAACTCGAATAACTCAGCAAACAAACATTCAAAATAAAAAAGGCAAGATATTACAAAACCATACATAGATAAAAGATCCACTGTAAGTGCAAAATATACCAATGGATTTTTCTACCAATTGAAAGATAACATGGTTTCAGATTCCATAGTGAAACTAAATTTTATGATCCAGAGTCCATATAAAATTAACTTTTATGAAACTACCACTTGTCAAGTTCTAGTATAATATTAGATATTAATATAAATATATTAAATAATAAATAAATATTAATATTAATATTAAAGAGTATCCAAGGGCACCTGGGTGGCTCAGTCGGTTGAGCGTCTGCCTTCGGCTCAGGTCATGACCCCAGGGTCCTGGGATTGAGCCCCCTGTTGGGCTCCCTGCTCAGTGGGGAGTCTGCTTCTCCCTCTGCCCCTCCTCTCCCCTCTGCTCCGCTCATGTTCTCTCTCAAATAAATACATAAAATCTTAAAAAAAAAAGAGTATCCACAATTATCTGAAAAGATTCTTAAAGCATTCCTTAGAATATTAGAATAGATCCTTAGAATCTAGTATTCTTCACATACTGATGTGAAGTAGCTGTATTTTCTTCATATAAGTCGACCAAAACACCACACTGCAACAGACCGAATATAGCAGAGAGGCAAAATGTAAAACAATGACCTCCTCCACACTAAGTACTTTGTTTTAAAAAATAGTTATTTCTTCCTAAAAACATGTTATTTAATATTACT